ACCGCGACCATACTTACCCAACTAATGACGTCCCACGTTGTGCTGAATCAGCAACTTATATTTTGCACATTTTTGCGTATAACTTCGGAACTAGATGAGATAGAGTATAGCATTAAACGGCCAATTGGCTTATTTTTCCATGCTCTTTCAAATGAAGCAATAAATTTTTCTGTTGCTCTTAACATGAGTTTTTCACAGGTAGTCGCACAGAGTGCGTGGAATTATATGACGAAGTCACTCCCTTGTAGTCATATATCTCAAGACTGATCTAAATGGAGGAGTGTGTCGGGACTGACAGAACAGATAAGCCATTTTATAACATTTTGATAGATTAATAATTAGTGCATGACGTAGCCTTATAATAGATTTGAGGATAGAGTTTCAACACTAAAGTTAGGCGTAACAGGTACAGAGAGTTAGTGTGTAGTGTTAGAATTTAGAAACAGTGTGAATGTAACAACAGTCAAGTCAGTTTGCAATTGAACAGTGACAAGTGTGATTTGTATAGCCCGTGCGCTGATTTGAGATCGTGTATCGTGATTTGTGAGAGTTTTACCTTTTAATACATTATTTTTATTTGTGGATATTTTAATAAAACCTAGATAACCAAAAAGAGTCATTGTGTCGAGAACTACCGTTCAACGGAGGGAACATTTTCGACAGTGTATTATACGCGCGGTAAGTTAAAAAAACCACTTTAGGCTCAAAAACGGTTATTTTTCCCGCGCGTATATAATGCAAATATACAGTAGGCCTATATATACAAAATTTGCGAACTTCACAGGCTATATTTTCCTCATTTTACAACAATTCGCAGCCAAACTTTGCAATTTTACTCATTTTAAGATGCTCATTCCAGCTATTGTAATGGTTTCGTTCTTCTTGTCTTGATCAAAATTGTGTCTATAGCTGGAATCGTCCATTGAAGATAGAATAAGAACTTCTGATGCAAACATTTCATTTATCTTGTGTTTCTGCTCTTTGTGTCAAAGCGAGAGTATGGACTATGGAATACAATTGTATTTCTAGCCTTTGGTTAACATTTTTAAATCATTAAAATGCTTAATATTATGTTTTATGTTCAGTCAGAAAAAAATTTAACACTGCTTATGTGCTGATTGCGCATGCAGTCTAGACATGGTTGAGATAGAGCGTTCCTTTCCAGTCATGTCAAAGGCGAGACTCCCATATGCTCTGAGATACGTGTCTGAATGTGTCGGTGTGTTTGGCCAGCATACAATGCGCTACAGCATTGACACGTGAACTGATACACATTTCCGTCATTAGAAGCAGCTATATTAATTAAAGTAGTTTTACCCTATCGTATTTTAATTCAAAATTTGTTAGTTTTGGAATGGTCCATACTCATGCTATGGCATGTCAGTAAATGTAGATATTTAGTATTAATTTCCATGTTATGCTTACACTAGTTACTACAAAGTTTGCCATAATTAATATCAGCTATAGCCTAAGCCTAAATAATATGCGGTCTGAAACCTACAACGTAGACATAGTCTCTTGTCTCATCGAATTTGCATTTTCGGCCGCTTATACGCTACAACTCGTCATGTTGTAATTATATTGTATCTATAGATTGAAAGCGAAGTCTACAGAAAGTGGATTCGTTTCAATTTTCTTCAAAATATCTCAAAAACCCAATTCTATACCCAGACGAAGCTATAAGTTTCATAGTGTTTACATATCCAAAGATCGCACTGTGTCATACTGCATACTGTACGTCACTGGCCGCGCGATGGAATGTCAGGAATTTCGCCAGTAGATAGTCGAAAAAGCGAACTTTAATCGTAAAATTAACAAACTTCTGCTTCGAATTTTTCAACAAGGTTTGTATTTTTATGATCGGAAAAGACCAAACTTTCAGAAAATGCAAAAAACCCAATATCGAAATTTTCATTTCATATACACTTTAATACAATGTACGTGGGGATACCGTTGAGGATATTTTACACTTGAACTATATTTATAAAGTGTGTCGCAAATCTTGGCAGTGTCGAAGTCAATAGTTTAATAATAAATATGATAGCGATAGTGAACTTTATTTAGCCACGGAGGCCTGTCATCAAAAATAAGATGATCTTGCCAGGCGCCGTGACATTTGAAATATTTACAATATTTGCAAGGTCAAGGAGAATGAGAAATTAAGGCTATCAGTACACATAACAAATTAATACTTATCACTTATTTACTGAGACCGAGGGAAACAGTGTGTTTTGTGGACCCGGTCGAGGGTCCACAAAACACACTGCTTTCCCGAGGTCTCAGTAAATAAGTGTTTTATTATATATCAATAGTCAAAGAAACAACAAATTAAACAACAAATGAACGTAAATACATGAAATATTTTATTGTTAAAACGTTATATTAAACACTGGCTACACTGCAGTTACTTAAAGCGAAAGTTTTAATTACGTACTAGGCATGTCCAAAGGTCGCATCTTCACGTGATGGCGCACGTAATTTTTTTTGTTATTCACCGGTCGATAACGTATTATCTCCCTCTCGCGCTGTTGCGAGAGAGACAGCCTAATTTCGTCACTCTCACGTGATATGCTCTCAACCAATAAAACACTAGAAAAATGCGACTTTGACTATTGATATATAATAATACAGTTTATTTTTGAATATATTTTAGGGAAGTGGAATTCCTAATTTCAATTACTATTGAATTCCATACCACTGCTCGGTTATATTCGAGACTATTTTTCAAAAAATTGGTGTTTGGTTTAGGGATGACAAAATTGTAGTCATGACCTCGTGTACCATCAGTGTGAATTAAATTCGCTCGATTAAATGGCTGTGAAAGATAAGATGGGCCTAATTTGTGGTACACTTTGAACATTAGACAAGATTTTTGTTTCATTTGCCTATCCTCTAGTGTCGGTCAATTTAAGTTATTCAGTAAAATTTGGGAAGAGCGTACGTATTTCGTAGTTGCTCCTAGGAATTGATACTTGAAGATCAAACTTACCTCGCAAATGTTGATTAGAAGAATATAACCAGTCAGCGATAACATATCCTTATTAAACAAATATTATCCGGTGAAATATATGGTTTACTGTTTTGATCATATTAACGCGTTAGGAATCTAGAACAAGGTTTACAAGAAAGATTGCATCCAAATATAAAAATCATGACTCTGATGATTTCCAGAGAATTCTTTGTCTTTGAACCGCTTACAAACACTAAAGGTGGGCAGAAATCAGTTAACACCAAACAAAGACACACTGCATGGTAACTATGGCTATGCACACTGAGTCAGTGTTTGATTGCGTTGCTTAGTTAGCTCATACCGGACCGTCAGTCGTAAGCCATTGTATGCAGAATTTATTGTGTTTTACACCAAGCGAAAATATTAAACTGTAGGCGGACAATGTGCATTTAGAATAACCCTACAGGTGTGATGTCAAAACAAGTGGTAATATTTTGTGATTAACGATATATTTTAATATATAGTTTAGCCCGTACCGCCAATTGGAACTCATTGTATTTAAGTGTGCAGACCGGAATTAAATGCTGAATTTATTGAGTTTTACATAAAGCGAAAACTTTAAACTGTAGGACTTGATTTATATGAATTACTATTGAGTAATGTAGTGACAAATTAAGCCCCACTAACACAATACAACTTTTTTTAGGACTTGATTTACAGCGTTGGATTTACCATATTGTAAGTATTGAGTACTGTAGTGACAAATTAAGCCCCACTATAAACACAATACAACTTTTTTTAGGACTTGATTTACAGTGTTGGATTACTATTGAGTATTGTAGTGACAAATTAAACCCCACCGTAACGCAATACAACTTGGCAAGGTCCCTGTAACTCAGGAACGAATTTTGAGACTATAACATGACTTAGCAACTTGCACGTTTTCTAGCTGAGCAGAAAAAGTCACGAGTGAAAGTTCTCGGGCAAAAGCCTGAAAATACTCTACATTTTAAAACATTCTTTCCGATTTAGGCACAAGTGTTGCTTATATAACTATTGTAGGAAGTGTGTCTTCAGTAGTAGCATATGTGTCCGAAACTTCAAAACTATTCTAAAAATTATAAGATATAATATATGTTATATTTAATTTTTGAGGTAATTAACGAAGCACGGCAGTGCGTTTTAACGCTCTGCCGTGCTTCGTTAATTACCTCAAAAATTAAATTGTGCCTAAATCGGAAAGAATGTTTTAAAATGTAGAGTATTTTCAAGCTTTTGCCCGAGAACTTTCACTCGTGACTTTTTCTGCTCAGCTAGAAAACGTGCGAGTTGCTAAGTCATGTTATAGTCTCAGAATTCGTTCCTGAGTTACAGGGACCTTATCAAGTTGTATTGCGTTAGTGGGGTTTAATTTGTCACTACAATACTCAATAGTAATTCAACACTGTAAATCAAGTCCTAAAAAAAGTTGTATTGTGTTAGTGGGGCTTAATTTGTCACTACATTACTCAATAGTAATTCATTTAAATCAAGTCCTACAGTTTAAAGTTTTCGCTTTATGTAAAACTCAATAAATTCAGCACTGATTTAATTTCTGTCTGCACACTTAAATACAATGAGTTCCAATTGGCGGTACGGGCTAAACTATATATTAAAATATATCGTTAATCACAAAATATTACCACTTTGTTAGTTTGACATCACACCTGTAGGGTTATTCTAAATGCACATTGTCCTACAGTTTAATATTTTCGCTTGGTGTAAAACACAAAAAATTCTGCATACAATGGCTTACGACTGACGGTCCGGTATGAGCTAACTAAGCAACGCAATCAAACACTGACTCAGTGTGCATAGCCATAGTTACCATGCAGTGTGTCTTTGTTTGGTGTTAACTGATTTCTGCCCACCTTTAGTGTTTGTAAGCGGTTCAAAGACAAAGAATTGGATGCAATCTTTCTTGTAAACCTTGTTCTAGATTCCTAACGCGTTAATATGATCAAAACAGTAAACCATATATTTCACCAGACAATATTTGTTTAATAAGGATATGTTATCGCTGACTGGTTATATTCTTCTAATCAACATTTGCGAGGTAAGTTTGATCTTCAAGTATCAATTACTAGGAGCAACTACGAAATACGTACGCCCTTCCCAAATTTTACTGAATAACTTAAATTGGCCGACACTAGAGGTAGGCAAACTATATATGGAACGCAATCAAACACTCGGGCAAGCCTGGGAAAGACCGCGGCCTGCTGGGTTTGGCAGTGTAATCGAATTCCCCGTCATGAGGACCCGCACGATGTGTGAAAAAATTAAGGCAAAATGTGTTCGTTCCCATGGCGTTTGTAAGGCAGGCGTTTGAGGGTTGACATATACAAATTAAATTAACTCACCCAATTATATCATACTAGTGTAATTTAATAGTCCGTTTTATTCTTGGTTTAAATATTGATAAGCTATATTCGATTTAATAATAATTTAATAATTCGTAATGGCTTAACACATTTGTAAACGCCGTAGTTGGGAGTTATAAATGCAAACACGCGCCAATTTCGAACAAAAACCGCTGTGTGCTCAGATCAATGTGCGAAATGTACTTTCCAGTATATTCGCATTGGTTTGACTATAGCAAGAATTAACGCGTACAATCACTTGCTCTTTGGCCATCCGAAATCTGGTAGAAAGCACGAAGGAAGCGCAACCTTCCGATTGTTCTCCAGCGACGTAGAAAAGGTATTAAATATCGCTGATCTTAAAGACCACGACAGATATATAGATGAAGACGGCTCAGACCCTGCAGGAAACGCGGACCTAGAGCCAAGTCCAAAGCGTGTTCGAATGGAAAGACAAGAACAGGAGATTGTTTTTCTCTCCGTGCGCGCCAAAATTACATCGCCGCACGCGTCAACAAGCGCTCTCATTAAATCGAAGGAAATATCACCACAAGAAAGGACGCGTCGCATTAAAACGAATGGCGAGCAATTCATCGGAAATCCCTGAATGTTGTTGCGTGTGCCTATCAAGAGAACCCCGAGGAGAACATCAACGAAATTATCGGCATCAGAAGGCGGTCGCCGGGTATATAATATTCTGATGTTGTGATTTTGGGGCAACCGATGTGATATTTTCAAGACTCGAGGCATTAGACACGACTCTTTCGGAACAAAACCAGTCAATTCTGCTTAAATCTATTAAAATGCCAGATTGGACTATGCTTCTTCTGAAAGTCAGAATAAAAATTTCAGACGTAGGATGGCAGACACTACTTAGTTACAGTACATAACTTGGACGCACTGGGGTATGTTGATATTTTTTTTTCTGTGCTGGTGTTGTGTACTCAGGTGAATATGTTATGTTTGTGATGTTACTCTGAGTGTATATCCACACCGGCCGAGCTTGAAAAATATGCCCGGTCACGGTGGGAATCGAACCTATGACCTTTGGAATACTAGCCCAATGCTCTGCCAACTTTGATATCCTCTTTCATATTTAATACAAATACATAGTCGTCTGGTCAAGTACATTTCCAAAATAGACAAAAATGTGTACAAAACACTCTCATGCATGGCCAATGATTTACGGGTAATATTAAGCGCAAGTATGAATATAAGTGTAACTGCATGATAATTGTTTTACTGCATGGTAATATTTTACCCAAGGTGTGATAGATTTGCATACTGACGCATATATTTAAACGTGTTTATTAGACAGTTTATACACTGTTGTTATTTGTTTGACTCATTCCGTGCTTTCATTACTGACCATCGGAGCCCAAAGGTTATGAATGTAACAATTTACTTTATTACATGTGATAATTCTTACAATCGTATCTTTACAAGCTGTTTACCCTGCCTGTGAGCATCACAACAGAAGTTGCATGTTCAACCATACAAACCATACCACAAGACTCTACACTACACCCTTTCAATAACTACGTCACAAGTTTCTCCTTGGTCCAGGAGCCTCGTTTTCATGAATCGTGAGCGAATTGTGTTTCTTCTTGATTCATGAAGCGAGGCTCCCAGACAAAGGAAATACTTGTGACGTAATTATCGAAAAGGTGTATTGAGTTGTATAATGTCAATGTTATATAAAACATTAATCGTTTGTAACACCACATACACCCTAGGAGGAATCGCATTCTAGAATGGAGTTCACTACATGGAGATACAAATATCATGGCAGGTGGTATGATTATGATGGCATTTCTCTTGTGGACTGATCATTAATATTTCTGCACCTTCACGGGCACGGGTAGGATTTACAATTGCCTCTACTGTTTATTTCAATGAGTATGTAGAACCAATCATGTAGAATCACTAGATGCACTATTCTACCTTATTATTACTTATCACCATGCAGTGATAATGCATACTAATTGAAGAGGTATACGCTCACTTTTATTTCACAATAAATCCTATAAAATAATGTTAGTATTCAAGACATAAAAACTACATTGCTGTGGTACAGTATAAAGATTATGAGAATTCTTTTAGTGGACGCTCTTGTGTCAGAAAGATGCAGTCATCTTTTGCTGACAGATTAAGAAGATGTAGTCATCTTTGTTTAATCAGTTAAAGCTGAAAGTTGTATCATAATTATTACACAGCAACTTATATTTAAATGAAAAGTACAATAAATTCTATAATTTTATCATAAGCTACTATTCAAGGCTTCAAAAACTCATTAATAATTCATGAAGCTATTATCCGAATCTTGAGTAAGAAATTGGTCACGTGCATACGTCTTTATACCAGCTAAAGAACACTTTAACAAAAGACCATTGTTATGCAAACTATATAAAGATTGTTATATAAAGATTTTTATATAAAGATTTTTATATAAAGATGTTTCTTATTCAGATTTGACTTATCATGCAAACGTTTTTGAAGCCATTTAAAAAACTCGCAGGTCGTGTTTTATTAGGTCTAAAGCCACTCGCGCTGCGCGCTCGTGGCTTTAAACCTAACAAAACACTCCTGCTCGTTTTTTAAATAGTACATAAAAACTACATTGCTGTTGTACAGTATAAAGATTATGAGAATTCTTTTAGTGGACGCTCTTGTGTCAGAAAGATGCAGTCATCTTTTGCTGACAGATTAAGAAGATGTAGTCATCTTTGCTTAATCAGCTAAAGCTGAAAGTTGTATCATAATTATTACACAGCAACTTATATCTAAATGAAATGAGTACAACAAATTCTATAATTTTATCATAAGCTACTATTCAAGGCATAAAAACTACATTGCTGTTGTACAGTATAAAGATTATGAGAATTCTTTCAGTGGACGCTGTTGTGTCAGATAGATGCAGTCATCTTTTGATGACAGATTAAGAAGATGTAGTCATCTTTGCTTAATCAGTTAAAGCTAAAAATTGTATCATAATAATTACACAGCAGCTTATATATATACGAAAAGTACAATAAATTCTATAATTTTATCATAAGCTACTATTCAAGGCATAAAAACTACATTGCTGTTGTACAGTATAAAGATTATGAGAATTCTTTTAGTGGACGCTCTTGTGTCAGAAAGATGCAGTCATCTTTTGCTGACAGATTAAGAAGATGTAGTCATCTTTGCTTAATCAGTTAAAGCTGAAAGTTGTATCATAATTATTACACAGCAACTTATATCTAAATGAAAAGTACAACAAATTCTATAATTTTATCATAAGCTATTCAAGGCATAAAAACTACATTGCTGTTGTACAGTATAAAGATTATGAGAATTCTTTCAGTGGACGCTCTTGTGTCAGAAAGATGCAGTCATCTTTTGCTGACAGATTAAGAAGATGTAGTCATCTTTGCTTAATCAGCTAAAGCTGAAAGTTGTATCATAATTATTACACAGCAACTTATATCTAAATGAAATGAGTACAACAAATTCTATAATTTTATCATAAGCTACTATTCAAGGCATAAAAACTACATTGCTGTTGTACAGTATAAAGATTATGAGAATTCTTTCAGTGGACGCTCTTGTGTCAGAAAGATGCAGTCATCTTTTGCTGACAGATTAAGAAGATGTAGTCATCTTTGCTTAATCAGTTAAAGCTGAAAGTTGTATCATAATTATTACACAGCAATTTATATCTAAATAAAAAGTACAATAAATTCTATATTTTTATCATAAGCTGCTATTCAAGGCATAAAAACTACATTGCTGTTGTACAGTATAAAGACAATGAGAATTCTTTTAGTGGATGCTCTTGTGTCAGAAAGATGCAGTCATCTTTTGCTGACAGATTAAGAAGATGTAGTCATCTTTGCTTAATCAGTTATAAAGCTGAAAGTTGTATCATAATTATTACACAGCAACTTACATCTTATTGAAAACAAACATTTATGTACAAAGTGATATTTTTAGAAACAGCGTTGGTACACTTATTTATTAAATACTTGTTTGCTATTTGCCATCAAATTCTCTTATCTTAAAAAATGTTCATTGTAAGTCTCATTCTGAACAAGAAACCCAATTTGCAAATACAATCTGACTGATACAATACAGTGTATTCGATCCTATTGGCCGTTTTCTCTATCAAAGACCAATTATATATTCTAATAGGATATTTAATAGGTAATGTTTAATGCAGGAGTGTTTTACCAGGTTGATCAATCAATCATAAATCAATGCACTGCGAGTGTATTGAGAAGAATACCAATTAGAATAAAGATACTTGTAGATTGATAATCGAACGGAAAGTTGTCAACATTTTTTTAAACCTAACCAAAAGCAGTTTCGATATATGCAACTATATAGGCCCTCCGGCGGGAATTGAACCTGCGGCTCTGCAATTCCATTGGGATCGGAACTTCGAAACCTCTCTATATATAAATTACAGTATATATATATATATATATATATATATATATATATATATATATATATATATATATATATATATATATATATATATAAAGCTTCAAATAGAAAATAAATTTTATTAAACTTCAAATGAATAGATACATGTTGTAAAGATACGTTTCGGGGCACAGCCCCTTCGTCAGAAACGAGATAAGTTCAAATCCATGTCCTTAAATACCTTTGGCCTAATCCTAATTAACATACACTAATAATATATATAGACTTGCATTAATATTCCTCCCTCAAATTTAATCCCAGTGGTACATATGTATTCAATTTTTCAATCCAAAAACTTTCCCTCTCTGTAGGTTTATTAACATCCGTGATATCAATAATCTGTGCTTTAAAATCATTAAGACCCGAATGGCCCTCCTTAAAAAAATGTTCATACAAATGTTGACCACATAAACCTCTTTGGCCCTTAGAAAATCTATTAAGCGAACTCTTGTGGTTATTAAATCTAAGACGAAATGACGTTACCGTATTGCCCACGTATTGTTTATTACATTTTCCGCAAGTAATTAAATAAACCACCCCCTGAGAGTTACAATCAAAGTGATGGTTAATGTGAAACGTGCGCCGTTGTACTGTACTTTGAAAAGTATCCGCTACCACGATGGAATCACAAACCTTGCACTTTTTCCCCCCACATTTAACCATCCCTCTAGCTGCAACCTCAAGCTTATACAATTTAGCCCGAACAAGATGGTCTTTAAGGTTTTTGGATCTCCTAAAACACACCATAGGTGGCTCTGGCATGACACTTAAGAACTTGCTAGATAAGCCTACAATATTTTGCAATTCCCTAAAAATTCCATAAATTTCCCGCAATGCTGGGTGATAATCTATGATAAAGGTACTCTTATTATTTTCTCTTCTAGTTTGCTCAGTTCCCCGTTTAAATAATGCCGACCGATCCAAAAACCTTACCCTCTTAAACTGACTCTCTACAAATTCGCTATTATAGCCCCTTTTAACCAGAAACCCTTTCAATTCCTGAAGCCTACTCTCAAAAACCTTATCTGAATGGCAAATCCGCTTAAGACGCAATGCCTGTCCATAGGGAATTCCCCTCTTAACATGTGGAGGATGGCAGGACTTAAAATTTAAATACTGATGTGCATCAGTAGGTTTACTATACACGTCAGTACAAAAAACCCCATTATCCAATCCTACCGACACGTCAAGAAAAGAAATCCTATGATAACTTATATCCCATGTATACTTGATATTTTCGTGAAAAGAATTCAAACGAAGCAAAAAATAATTTAGCTCCTCCTCCGAATGAAGCCAAATCACAAAAATATCATCCAGAAAACGCCACCATACCCACGGTTTTAACTCACACGTCTCCAAAAATTTTTCTTCCAAGTAGCCCATAAATATATTTGCAAAACCTGGTGCGAACTTGGTCCCTATGGCTGTCCCCAATTTTTGGCGGAAGATTTTTTCATCAAATTCAAAATAGTTGTTTTCCAAGATAAGCCTTGCCAAAGAAACCAAGTCCTCAACCGGTAGCTCCCACTCAGCCCTATTAAAAGCTCCCAGAAGCGCTTCCAACCCTTCCTCGTGTGGTATATGAGGGTACAAGCCGATCACATCTATAGTACACAAAATAGCAGTATATATATATATATATATATATATATATATATATATATATATATATATATATATATATATATATATATATATATATGTATATATATATATTTATATAACTATAGTTCATTGTCAGTCAGGATAAAACTAAACTTTCAAAACGTCAAATTTTCCTTGTGTTTTTTTCAGGAATATTATACAACAGAACATGCAGCTGCCTAATATTCATATTATAGAATATATGTTTTGTGATTGGCGGCCGAATATTGCATGCCTTTCACGTCAGTGATATTGATTTACGCTGCGTTATTATACGTTTATATGTAGACGTTTTCCTTCTGTTATTTGTTTTTGTATATAAATTATAATTGTATGTTTAATTGAGAAAAAAGCAGACAAAAATTGTGCATTGTCCATGACCATGCATGTATTGCTTGCGTATTAATTGTCTCATGACTTCATAATCTTACTTTACTATACCATACTCTGTACTCTCATTACATTGACAAGATATTGTGTGGTACGTACTGACCAGCTTATATACTATACAAGGCTCCTTGGCACGCGGAAAACTTGTAAATTTTTTGTCGTATACGCGAGCAAGTAAAACTTGTCAAGGAAAAAGTGGCGACGGAAAAGCTTGTTCGTCTGTTCGGTATAGGCACGCTGAGATTTAAGAAATGGCCAGAGACAATACTGCAATGGAATAATAATATATCTGTTGATAGGGTAAGACATTTGACTCTGTTTAATATCTACATACATTCATACACATTAGTGTCACACAGCTGATATTATGCTGTATAATGTTTAACCGAGCATAACAAATTGCTTCCCGCAGTATGCATTTTTAATTAATAACTTGTTAATAATAGAATTTCAAACCGAGTACCTACTGTGAGTAATGAAACTAATAACCGATTGATGACAGTTTTTCGAATTATATTTAATGAGATAATGCGCTCTGATTTCCGGACTTTTGCGTATTCAATCCGCAAAAGTTGCAATTTTTAGGCTGTGCGGGTCGTCATGACCGGCGACGTGAATTGATGATTGGCTAGCTGCGAGTCTGAGCCACTGTCACTCAAAAGTGAATACGCTTTTAATATGTCACGGCATAATATGAACGCTTCTCGAAAGTCGAAACGCGAACTAATTGTCAAATCTCAAACGCGAGCAAGAGATAGCTTGTTTTTGGCCGTTCTACCAACAGGTTGTCGGAAACTGTCTATATATATATCTTAATATTTGTGATTTAATGGCAGGATTAATTATTACTTTAATTAGGGACGAACATTGCATGATTGACACATTTATATTATTATGAAGAGAAGTTAAAAGATAGGAATGTAGTGACTGTGTGACTGTGAGAGAGACTAGACCGCGTATACAACTGTGAGTGATTTTCAATAATATAATTTTATAAAACCGAATTTGCTTCGTCGAGAGTTTGATTGTTCAATACCCTTTAGTAAGGGTCAATTTACTAAAAGGTTATGGGAAAAGCTTGATCTTTACAGTGTTCTTGTTGGCGCGAGAAAATATAACGAGAATATTAAACATAGACCGCCGTAGAGTCTTATTGCAACGGGTTTAACAGGACTATTACGCCTAGGTCTGTTAGCCGCTTCACGTTCTGAACTTTTTAATGCTTTCTTTAAATTAACACACAGTTTCGTTCTGCCTCGTATCCAGGCGCTATAAATAATTAGAATACATGAAGTATTCAGGCAGGCAGGCAGGCAGGCAGGCAGGCGACGTGCGAAAGGGCTGTTGGGAAGGGTGCGTCCTGGGGAGCGCCAGGCAGTTCTTGTATACTGTCATGGCGGACAAACATGGAATTTAATACAAAAAGTTACCGTATCGTCATATACTCTGTGTGTAAAACCTTACTTTTTGGTGAAAAGTTGAATTGAACGCCATTGGCAAATAATAATAAATTTGTAGATGTTTGATGACATGCAAAATGCCAGGGCTGCACAAATATTTTATTTTCTGGGACCACAAACCAATGAAAATATCAGTTTTGTGAACGCAAACACTGGGAATCTTATGTTTAAATTTGATCACTATTTAAAATTCAGTGTATTCTATGCACCATTTCATTAGATTTGAAACCAAAATAGACATATTTTATCCTGCTAGCAGTAGTTTCTAGCTGAGTTGAGGAGACACCACTGCAAGCGAATGAACAGTCGTTTCATGTAGCCGCCGTCCAGATTCACAGATGAATACATTAAATGAAAAACCAGTAAAACAAAAGTTTGACAAGTTTTTGTTGTTGTGCGCATGGGTAACTGCTTGGGACTGCTGGTAAATGCGAGCCAGCTGTACGAAGACAACACGATTACGCTCTAAATATAGTAACATGCTATAAATATACTATACCCTTTTACAAAATATTATAACGTCACAAAATATTGACTGATTTGATTTTTTACTACATTGTAAGAAATCACCACACTCGCAGATTTTTTAATACACATATTGTAGTTGTATTCATATATTATTGGAAACTGTATGTTGCAAATATCACTAGTTCACAACCTACAGCTTATTATTCAATTATGTCACTTTCTGATTTTCTTCCTTTCTGTTTTTCCTTTCTTTCTCTTTACTTTGTTCTTTTGAGACTTTTAAGTTTTACCCTCCATTTTTTTCTGCCAACCTCAAACATTTTCTGCGACCAATGGTCCTGTGGTCCGCTATAATATGCATCCCTGCAAAATGCGCGAAAAATTATGAGTAAACTAGAAATACATGCATGCAATAACCCCTCGCCTGTTTTCAAAAGATGTATACTCAGTGCCGTTGCTAGCACTTCGTCTCAGGGTGTGTGTGAGGTTAGATAGAGGGGTTGGGGGGGTACCAAAATGTTTCCAGATGTACAAAATTCAGGACATATAATAATTTTTCCGAAAATACAGTTGTTTTCAAATTCACTTTCTCATGTCTTGAGAATTACCTGAATTCCACTGAAAATCTTCTGAAAATCTACTTAAATTTACCTAAAAGTGCACTGGAAATCTACCTGAAATTCCTCATGAGAAATTATTAGGGGTGTTGCACCCCCGACCCCCACCCCAAGTGAGTTTCAAGCAAACCGACTCTCTGATTTTTTGTTCGTGTATTTCATCTCCCAAAATTTTGTGCATCATACTATAGAGCATTTTGCTGTTGCATGCTCTAGCGTGGTTCAAATTTATGAATTTTTATTATATAAAGTATAGTGTTTTATGTACTGTTTAATAAACGAGCAGGAGTGTTTTATTAGGTTAAAAGACACGAGCGCGCAGCGCGAGTGGCTTTAGACCTAATAAAACACGACCTTCGAGTTTATTAAACGGCTTCAAACACGACTACAAATTCAATAGATTTACTGCCTTGTTAGTATTCTTTATATAAAGAATACTAATGAGGACACGACTACAATAGATACTGCCTTATTAGTATTCTTTATATAAAGAATACCAATTAGGAGTGTTTTATCAGGTTTAAAGCCACTGCACGTGACATAATATGGTCGACATGTTTCGTCAATAAGCTTATGAATTATTAATGAGTGTTTGAAAGAGATTTCGAGCACTGATAAAAATGATAATCTCACATGTAAAATTATTCATGATAATCTCACATGTGAAAATTATCGCCTTTTCAATTATCACTTTTCTGTAAAAATTATCGCTTTTAAAAGACTGTCCTTTATATAATAAACAGAAAAATACATGTGTGGTTGGAAATACCAGATTTATTTTTCGTGTTGAACATGACATCTCACTCGTTCGATGCGCTCACTTGTTCGCTGCGCACTCATGTTCAACACTCGAAATAAATCTGGTTTTTCGTGCACCCATGTATTATTCTCTATTTAAACTACAACTTGACTGGTTTAAATTATTATCAAGTTATCAGTGATAAGTAAAAGTCGCAGATAGAAGTGTTTTGTTTTATATTATTATCAAGTTATCAGTGATCGCAAAACCTCCAAATCCTTAATTTCAAATGTTAGAATGTTAGGGTTTTAACTTTTAATCCAAGTGAGAATTATATACATTTTAAGACCTAACCAGGAACGACTGCGAAAAATGCAGCACAAGGTCCTCTGGTAGGAATTGAACCTACGGTACCGCGATTCCGGTGCAGCGCTCTAACCAACTGAGCTACAAAGGCCAGCTGTTGAGCTTGAACCGCAAGTTCATGTATATTTAGGTTATCGGGTGTGCGGGTTGTGATAAGGTGGACTTCAATAATTTGGATTCTTGGCACTTCACTTGGTGGAATTAATATTAGAATGTTAGGGTTTGTAATCCAAGTGAGAATATATACATTTTAAGACCTAACCAGGAACGACTGCAAAAAATGCAGCACAAGGTCCTCTTGTAGGAATTGAACCTACGGCCCCGCGATTCCGGTGCAGCGCTCTAACCAACTGAGCTACAGATGCCAGTTGTTGAGCTTTAACCGTAAGTTCATGTATATTTAGGTAATCGGGTGTGCGGGTTGTGATAAGGTGGACTTCAATAATTTGGATTCTTGCAGTTCACTTGGTGGAATTCGAATTAATATTAGAAATGTCAGGGTTTGTAATCCAAGTGAGAATATATACGTTTTAAGACCTAACCAGAAACGACTGCGAAAAATGCAGCACAAGGTCCTTTGGTAGGAATTGAACCTACAGCCCTGCGATTCCGGTGCAGCGCTCTAACCAACTGAGCTACAGAGGACAGCTGTTGAGCTTTAACCGTAAGTTCATGTATATTTAGGTAATCGGGTGTGCGGGTTGTGATAAGGTGGACTTCAATAATTTGGATTCTTGCACTTCACTTGGTGGAATTAATATTAGAATGTTAGGGTTTGTTAATCCAAGTGAGAATATATACATTTTAAGACCTAACCAGGAACGACTGCGAAAAATGCAGCACAAGGTCCTCTGGTAGGAATTGAACCTACGGCCCTGCGATTCCAGTGCAGTGCTCTAAACCGCAGTCGTTCCTGGTCAGGTCTTAAAATGTATATATTCTCACTTGGATTACAAACCCTAACATTCTAATATTAATTCCACCAAGTGAAGTGCAATACTCCAAATCATTGAAGTCCACCTTATCACGACCCGCACACCCAATTACCTATATATACATGAACTTGCGGTTACAGCTCAACAACTGGTCTCTGTAGCTCAGTTGGTTAGAGCGCTGCACCGGAATCGCAGGGCCGTAGGTTCAATTCCTACAAGAGGACCTTGTGCTGCATTTTTCGCAGTCGTTCCTGGTTAGGTCTTAAAATGTATATATTCTCACTTGGATTACAAACCCTAACATTCTAATAAGCATTATCATGTCTTTCATGCAACGTGAAAGTTTATTGCGACCCAAGAGGTGTTACTTCAAGTCGAAATTACAAGAAAGATCGCATGACTTTAGTCGAACTTAGCCGTTTTCAAGGTTGTTTAAAAAAGCTTCAAACATTTATTACAGTAATCAAATTGCTCAGCGCTCATTCTTGAGCTGAAATTCAGACCGCGTCGTTGAACTGGCAGCGTCGTAGATCGTAAACTCTCTATTAGCCATATACGACGAGACTCAGTAGAATGACTTGCACAGGGTGTATAATTTGCGGGAACGTTGTGCAAACACTAAAACTTGGACTTTTTTGTCGTAGTAGCCTGTCACGTATAATTTTTTAACTTTCTGTAAAGAAGTAAGAAATTAATCATGCATAAAATCAGTCATGCCTCATGCGTGGAATAAATTATGAGTGAAAGGCTACTATGGCAAAAAATCCAAGTTTTGGAGCTCGCGCGTAGGACTTGAAGTAAATCAAATTGTCAAATATTTTGAAAGTTCTAAATTTGCACCCGATCAATTCAAATTGCATTTTAAGTTGTGTGCAAGCCATTTTTGAAGCGTTTTTTTTTAAACAACCCTCCTAGCTGCATTCGAAAATTTACTTTTCAAAAAGATTTTAGTGGTAAAGATACTAGCAAACCCCAAATTACCCACGCTTGCATAAAGTTTTCACAAATTTTGGGGAATTTGCAATTGAGCGGACATTTTCGAACTGTGCAGTTTTTCTTCTACACCCTGTATAGACAACTACTACATTCACACACTCATGCGTATGGCAATATTTTGATAGTTACTGTAGTTTAGCAATCCACACAACTTGCCCTAAACCTGATAAAACACTGCTGCTCTTTCTGCATCACATCCGGTGAAAATGAAATGAGATATTCACCACGCAAAGCACGTGTTTATGCTCGCGTTCCAACGTGTTAAACACAACATAAACACGAAGTAGAGTTAGGCGATACTTAAAAATCATATCGTGATTATCGTCTATAAACTTAAAAAAGCTTTATACACATACATTACGAAACAATATCACGATAGTCATTGACCGCAACGATAATTACGGTATATCATCGCTCACGTTTCGTCTACCTTCGATACGATAATTACGAGTAAAAATATCGCGACAATATTGAAATACCGCCCAACTCTATCGCAAACTTTATTAAAGAGTTGCGGACTTCGGCGGTTCGGGACTTTGACGAGCTTTTAATACGGCTGTCAATGATATAGACGGTCGCCAGTTTTTAACATCCATACACATACACACATACACATATTTATTTCCAGTTACAGATATATTTACATGAATTTTCACTAGCCGCAAGTAGCCAAGCTAATCGGGGCGGGTAGTGATATAATGTAATTATGAGAGGGGGATAATTATAGTTGCAGGTTTACAAAGTTACAAGCAGAACTGCATGCTGAAGCCAATATATTTGCTTATGTAAAGTTAATAAATTGGTGATATTGAAATCTCGCTAAAGTGCTAAATATAGGAATGAATTTGAGCACATAATTATATAATTAACCACAAAAATTGAGATTATACAATCAATTGTAGGATGGTTTGGTTTCAATAGGCAATCTGTTTATTATCAAGGGCAGATCAATATGGTCATTTTCCTTCTGTAGAATTGTCATAAGTGTTTTGTTTAATTTGGTTTTGAAGGTATGTTTCCTTTGCGCACGGAAACTTGGAGAAATACCATTCCAGATAAAAGAACCAAATCGCGAAAATGAGCGTTTTTGGATTTCTAATTGTGAAGAATTGATGTAAAAATTCTTGTTCGCAGCTGCTCTCGTATCCAGATAATCTTGATACGCGGAAAAGAACTGGCACTAGTTGTCAAATAGAAATCCATTTTATGATTAAAACAACTGAATATCTCCTGTAATATACTTTATTTCGATTCCATATTTTTGTCAGAGCTATAGTTCTCATAACCAAACATAGTTACAAAATTTCAATTAGTTTCATAAAGAATAACGAAAGATATAATTGACTGAACACATCAAAATGGATTTCTATTCGGACAACCCTTTCTGAGCGCTGATTGGCTAAAATACGAACACGAGATCACCTGGATTATATCTATGAATCTCGCATGTTTTGGTAAATAATTCTTGAAGAGCAATTGGTGCAACTTCATTAGAAATATCATGTAACAAGTCAGCGGATTCTCTAATGTATAGCATGTTGATAGGGAGGGTGTTTGAAGAGATAAATACAGGGATAGAGTGTTCACGATTGTCTTTAAAGTAGATAAGTCTCAGCACACGTTTCTGGAGTTTGAGAAGTTTGTCCGTATATTTTTTGGCTGCATATCCCCATGCAACAACTCCATATGATAGATATGGCTGAATTAATGACTTATATATGTTCATTAAGGTATGGAATGCGACATAATGTCGGAGTTTTGCAATGATTCCAACAGTTTTGCTAATCTTTAGTGCAATGTAATTAATGTGTTGTTTCCAAGACAAATTACAATCAATGAGAATGCCAAGATATTTTATATAATCCTTACTTTCGAGAGGTATGTATTTATTCGAATTATTGTCAAAAAGTTTAATAGTAGGCTGATAGGTCATTGGTTTTTGCGATGGTCGAAAGATTACAAAATTTGATTTTTTTATATTTAATGTTAGTTTATTAGCATTTAGCCACTTACAAACTTCCCTCAACTCGAAATTTACCACTGATTCTAAAGTTTTTAAACTTTTGTTAGCATATAATAGGTTGGTATCGTCCGCAAAGAGAAAGAAATTAAATACATCCGTTATCTGAAGTATGGAAAGAAGATCTCAACGTAAACGTATTAGAATTT